GGAAACAGGCAGCTTGCATTGGCAGAGAAGGTGGTCTTTGGACCAGGACAACTGAAACATGGAGAAGGCTTCAAAAATATTTGTGCTCGAACTCCTTTGCTTGTTTCAGTGTGCTTTAGTTAGCCTTGTCTCCAACCTCCCCCTGCACTCTGGGCACAGCAACCTCTGTCCCTCCCCTAGCCCAACTCTCCTCTTCCTTTGAAGCCACAAAGCTCCCTTTCAGTTTCATCTCCACCATGATCCTCACTAACTCTACTCCTTCCTGGGATCTCCAGGATTCAAGAGTGTTTCTCTGCCTGCCTCCCTAAGGTTACCTCATTCCTCAATCCCTGGTGCCTTATACAAGGCCCCAAACAAGGCAAACTTCAAAAAAGCACTTTTGGATGGAATTTCCTGGGTATGTGACTCCATCATATCAAGACTTAGACCTAGGAAGGGAACGTGAAGTCCTGATAACACCACTTAGAGGATGGACAAGTTCTCTCAAGTCTCAGTTGTCCTGTCAATTGGAGATTGGCGATATCACTATATCTTACATGTGCCTGTGTAAAATATAGTCTTCCAGCACTGTGATTGGGATTCCTAGGATGGCACTGGTGGAAACTTCAAGTGTTAGGTCAATTTATTTGCGTTTTATGTGCATGGGTGCATGTGTGTGTGTGTTATTTATTTTATGAAAAACCTCTCACTTGTAAATCAGGCAAGGGGCATGAACCAGAATTCTAGCTTGTAGTTCTGAGGATGGCCACCCGAGGGAAGTGGTGAGCAGCCTTCTCCAGCAGGGGCTGCCCCTGTGAGGCTAAGGCTCCTGCTGAGGATCCAGATGGTAAAGCTGAGATTTTTGGGGCTTCCTGGTCCTTGAACAGGTGGGCGCTGGCCAGGGCGCCGCAGGAGGAGCTGCTGCGATGTGTTTAGTCCCTTTTCGATTTGAGGGAACGGCTGGCGGGCTATAGCAGGCGGAGTAATTTATCCTTTCCAGTCTATGATTTGTCTTATACACTTGATTATGGTCATTTCTTCTGTATCGGAGTTTTTACAGTGAAGCTAATAGTTTTTATGCTTCATCGTGCTTAGAAAGCCTTTTCCAAGCCAGAGGTGGCGGTGCACACCTACAATCTCAGCATTCAGAGGGAGAAGAATCACCAGTTTGAGGTCAAGGCTGTACTAAATGGCAAGACCCTGTTTTAAAAAATAATAAGGAAGTTGGTGGGCATGGTGGCGCATGCTTGAGGCTGAAGCAGGAAGATTGCCTTGACTCTGAGGGCAGCCTCGGCTACATAGTGAGTTGTAGGCCAGTTTGAATTACATAGCAAGACCCTGTTTCAAAAAATGCAAGTGTTGTTCATCTCTAGGATTATCAAACCATTCACTCATGTTTTCTTTTGGTTGATTATAGTGTTATTATTTAAATGTGGCTCAAGGGAGAAGGAGGAATCAAGCTATGCTCTATATGTACCAATTCCCCCAAAAATGTAATTATTGCATATCACAAACATGTAATAAAAAAAGTTGCTCCACTTGAAATTTATTTAGCTATATATGAGAACACAGCTTTCCTCTGTGTCTCCAAATGACTTGCTAGTTATTGAAACACCTTCTTTCCCCCATTTCTCTGAAGTCCAATCTTCATATAATGAATTCCCATGTGTTGCTGTTTCCATTTATTTTATTTTTCATTTTAACAAATTAATGAAGCTCAATATCATGATTTGATACATATAGAACATGTAATGATCAAATTAAGATACTTAAGATTTCCTTTTCAAACTTAAAATTTTTTTTTCCCTCTATTGGGAATGGAACCCAGGGCCTTCACACTGAGCTATATCCCCAGCACTTTTTCTTGAGACAGGGTCTTGCTAAGTGGCCCAGGCTAAGCTTGAATTTGTGATCCCCTGCATCAGCCTCTCCAACTGGAAGGATTACAGAAGTGTTCCACCATGATTGGCTCTTCTCAAAAAATTTTTTTGTTTGTTTGTTTTGTTTTTGTACCAGTGATTGAAATCAGGAGCTTGCACTTGGCAGGCAGGTACTTAAGCCACTGAGCTAGCTCCCTTGCCCCAAAACCTATATAAGATTGTGCTTATTTAATACAGTGAGTTATTTTAGGACATGTAAGGTATGTATTGACCAAATCACAGTAATTAATGTTTCTGTCTCTGTATCATTAATTTGTGTTTGGGGCATTCAAGTTCCTCTCTTCTAGTAATTCACAAGATATTATGAGCTACAGTTTTTTTTTGGGGGGGGTAGGTTTTGTTGTTGTTGTTTGTTTTTTGGTGGAACCTGGGATTGAACTCAGGCCCTTGCACTTGCCAGGCAAGCACTTATTCTACTGAGCTATTTCCCTGGCCCCAGAGCCACAGTTAAGTGTAGTCTCTTTCTCTCTTTCTCTCTCCAGATTGAGCCCAGGGCTCTGTGCATGCTAGGCAAGTGTTCTACCACTGAGCCACATCCCAGCCACAGCCTATTTCTATGCTCTGTTTATTCCACTGATCTATCTAGTTCTGCTTCAATACCATACTGCTCTAACTAAATGGACTTAATAGTATGGTGTTATATAAGGTAAGGCAAATTATTATCTTTGTGTGTCACACTGTGGATTGAACCCAGGACCTTCACAATGAGCTACATCCTTAGCCCCTTTCTTATTGTTTATTTTGAGCCAAGTTCTTGCTAAATTCCTAAGTTCCTCAGGCTGAGTTCAAAACTTGTGAACCTCCCGCCTTAGCATTCCAGAGTGCTGAGATTATAGGGCAAAACTTTTCTTCATTATTTTCTTGAGATTTTAAAATTCATATATATTTGTTTGTCCATATGTACCAAAAGAACCAACCCCTACTTACCTTATCATTCTGGAAGCCAATATGGCACTTTAAAATACTTAACAATATATGCAAAGTGTACATTTGCACTTTTCTATGGGGAGATGGCCCAAGGTTTTCATCAGATGTGCAAAGGGAACACCTGGTTTACCTATCTCTGGACAGAGGCCAAGCAAGGGCATAGAGGATGATGGATCCTCTTCTCACTCCATTCTTTACTTCCCTGATTGTGCTTGATATCTCCTGGGCCCCCTGTTTGCCTCCCCTGATCTAGCCCTACAAACACATCACAGCTCCAGAGCAATTAGTCACTACAGAGGCTCTATTTCCAGGCCAAGGCCTAGTGTTGATTAGATGACAGTATTTCAATTAATAAATAAATATTAATTTATTTACATAGTAAATATTTAACTGTGCATCCAAGCTTCACCTCTGACCAGTGATGGGATCCAGTTTAAGGCTCTCTGCATTGCCAGACTTCAGTTTAACTTCTCATAGGCCAGATGAGAAAGGAAGAGATTGGATGAGGAGTGTGTAAAAGAAAGAGCTGCCTATTGCCAGAGGTTCTTTTTTTTGGAACTGGGGATTGAACTCAGGCCCTTGTGCTTGCCAGGGGAAGCACTTATTCTTTTTCTCTTTCTTTCTTTCTTTCTTTCTTTCTTTCTTTCTTTCTTTCTTTCTTTCTTTCTTTTTGCGGAGCCGGGGATTGAACTCAAGCCCTTGCACTTACCAGGCAAGCACTTATTCTACTGAGCCATCTCCCTGGCCCCTTGCCAGAGGTTTTTTAATCCCAACAATTTTCTTCATCTCCTATCTTCCTTATCCCCTACCCACATTTTACAGTTCAGGCCCTTGGCAAGGAGCCTGTTTACTTTACCATCCTCCAGTACATATTAATAATAATCTCTCTGTGAATGAGTGAAATTAAGAACATTGGAGCCCAAGAATGGAACTGGCCAGTCCTAAGCAAGCTTAAACACGGCAAGTGGGAAAGAGCCATGACCCTGCATGAGACTTCATAGTGTTCTCCTCATGTCTTGGGCTGTTCAGGATTTTTGCGGTCCACCTAGGAGTTCAGTTAGGCAGGTGCCGAGGCCTAGAACAGGGTTCCTCAAAATACTGGTACCGTTGATGTTTGGGGATTGACAGTTCTAGTGTCTGGCTGGCCTGTGCATTGGACAAAGTCTGTCAGCATTCAGGGTCTCATCCCAGTAGATGCCAGCACACACATTCACATGCCCAAGCTGTGACAATCCCACTAGATGCCCTAACACACATTCACATGCACAAGCTGTGACAATCAAAAATCTCTAAACATTGTTGAATGTCCCCAGGGGGACAAAATCAACCCCAGTTGAAAATACTGCCCTAGGATAAGATGGGGATTAACTCAGGTTACAAGGTGAACGCTCTACTCCTTACTCTCTGTGTAGAAAGGACACTGTAAGGTCGTTTTCTTCATAGCAAGCACTTAGACAATTCTTCTGAGTTTCCGTTTCTTCATCTGTAAAATAGACTTACTGTTTGTAAGTGGTTTTTCCTTTTCTCACCATCTGACTTTTGTGGATCTTGTCCATGGTAGAGCACGGGGCACAGCGGTGCCTGAGAGGTCCTGGGAGGTGCTTCAAAGAGAGGGAAGGATGAGAGAGAACAGATGGCAGGGGGTGGTGATGGACAGTGGTGACCTGGAGGCCTTCGGAGCATCCCAGGGACAGGGATGAGGCTCTAGATGTCCCTAGACCCTGCTCCTACTTCTTAGAGGGTCTCTCCCTACACTCTAGAGGGCCAACCCATGGAGATCTGTCCCACCTAGCCACAGCACTTCCAACCCCACAAACCCTAACTTTGTCCACTTCCCAGGCCCCGCCCCACCCTCGGCCTCACCCCACCCTCGGCCCCGCCCACCACCCTGACCCCGCCCCTTCAGGCCCCACCTCCTTCTTCGCCTCCCGCCAGCCAAGACTGGGGCTTTGCACCCGGCGGCGGCTAAGCACTGTGGCTGTTGCGGAGCTGGCAACGCAGCAGTCGGAGGAGAGCTGGCTGGCTCGGTGTCGGGCGATGCCCCCTTGAACCTCCCTCGCCGCCCCTCCCCGCCCCGCGTCCCCACCCCCTTGGAGTCCGGGCCGCCGGGGCCCAGCCGCGCCTACCGCCGGGTCCGCGGGGCGGGGTCCTGGGGCAGCACCTGCCCCGCCTTGCGGAGGCGCCTCTGCCCGGCCTGAGGAGCCCCCGCCGGGTCAGGACGCCACCGGCCCCACCTTCTGGTAAGTCAGCAGGCCTGGCTCGCCTAGGAGTGGAAGTGGGGAGGGGGCTGCGGTGTGGGAGGGCGAAGGGAGGGTTCCGGCAGCGAAACGCAGCGTCGGTGTCTGAGTGTGCGGGGCCTGGTGGTGGGGGCAGAGGTAGGACGTGAGGCTAGGGGTGGAGGGGAAGGGGGGAGGGGACGCCTGGAAAATGGGGAAGGGGACTCCAGATACCAGAGTTCTTTGCTATTGCTCAGAGCACTAGGGCCCTCGTCTTCAACAGCATTGCCTCACATGGCATTTTTGGAAAGTGCTTAAAATCCCTCCTGGAAAGGGAGCAGGGAGGCAACCCCTGCCTTTCTCTCTTCTGCCAGTGCCCTGGTTAAGAAGCGGCCACTTTTTCCTTCTAACGTGACACCATTCTTCTACTCCAGAAGGAGAAGGAGAAGAAGAAGGATGGGGTTGCACACTCCATCTTTAGGGTGGGGAAGAAGAGCATTTTGGGGAAGCTAGGAAAGATGATCAGTGGCATGGCATGGTGGGGCGCCCAGGGTTCAGGGAGTGGTGGGAGCCTTGGCAGAAAACTTATACACACTTCCTTCAGACAGTGCATCTTCCCCCGCTGGCCTCATGGCTGCCTGGACCCCACGTCCCATCCCCTTCCCTGGACAACTCAGCCCAGAGGAATGGGAGTTCTTCCCGGTGTGTTAGGCCTGGAAGCTCAGCAACGGGCCCATAGCTCCTCTAGTTCTGGACTGAGGATGCAGTGCCCCTCCCTTAGGGAAGATAATAGGGGGACACTGTCTGACACTGCCCTCTGGGGGCCGGTTTGAATGTGGCCCTTCAGGGTTCAAGAACCTGGATGAGTGCCAGTGTCCAAAACCTATCCCTACCATGTTGCCTGGGTGTGAGAAAGAAGGCTGCTGCACATGTGGTCCTGTGCTCTACCCATAATGACTTCTCAAGTCTGTGGTCCTTGGGTTGGGCCTGGTCAGTAAGAGGTTAACAAGCCATTCTCTTAATTGCTGCCAGCCACCAATTAGTCTGTAATCATGCAGCTGCCAAGTGTCCCTAGGGGTGTGTGGTCAGCCTAATGGGGCATTCTCTGGTTGGGCAAGAGCCTGCTGGGGGAGTTGACCCATACAACCTGTGCTTAAACCAACCACTAGGCCTTTTGGAGTTTGCTTAGGGCCCACAGACCCTTTTCTGCTCTCATATAGCTGCCTGGCTTAGGCACTTACTGTGGTTCTACACTAGAGAGTATGAAACCTTGAGTCTTGAGCCCTGGCTTAAGGCAGGCTTTGACACTATCTGGCTATGTGATATTAGAGAAATCACTTCTCCTCTCTGAGTTTCTTTCAGTAAACAGACCTGTCACCTACCAGTAAGTGAAATGGATTTGAGCTACTTAGATCAGTGCCTGGTAAGCAGGAGGACCTGTAGACAATTTCTTAAATCTTGAGTAACCTCCATGCCAGGTATTTTCTGGGGGAGATACGCAAGACCCAAGTGCTAGGGACCTTAGTTCTTTCCCTTGGGGCATGTGGTCTATGTCATTGTTTTAGCTATTCTCTCTTCTTGCTCGCCAACACTTCTGATCTCTGGATATTAATTGGGTTTTAGTCTGTGGAATTCAGGCCTGAAGCTGCTACTCTCTGGACTCCTGCTTTCCCTGCCCAGGTGCTGAGCTCTGTGGGATTTGTCAGGGGTCTGGGTGATGTCTGCAGCTGCAATAGCAGCTAGCCCTTTAAGGAGGAAAGAAAACAATTATCCAGCTGGGGCATTGCATCAGCTGAAGCCTGGAGGGTCCCCAGGGAGAAGGGGGCAGACTGGTGGTTGATTTCATTAGTGCCATGTAAGAACTCTCACCTGAGTCTGCCCCACTCCCCAGCCAAAGCCTTCTCCCCAGGCAACCAAAGCTCCAGGGCCTCCTCCCACCCTGAGAGCCCCACTTGGCCCCACATCAGAGAACTGTCTCTGCACCCCCAGGCAGAGGAGGTGTAGGGGGAAGTGCCTCACACAGCCCTTTTATGGACTGTGGCAGTGTATCTGCTCCTGGCCTTCTGCTGACTTGGGGTGCAGGGTACAGTTCCTATACTGGCATTTTGCTGACAATGGGGGTACCTCCCCCAGTACTGTTTGCTGACCTGGGGGGGGGTTAATCCCACACTGGCATTTTTTTTTTCAATGCGTGGAGAAGCAACTTTTGACACTGGCCTCTGGCACTGACAGGCCATCTCTCATATTGTTGGATCACTGCCTTTCAAGAGGAGCTTCATGGTCTGGGGGTTTGGACTGAGGGCGTGGGTTAGAAGCACATGTTCTCTGAGTGTAGGCGTGCTGGCCTGGGATGGTGAGTCACAGAGATGTGAGGTCTTGGGCAGAGAAGAGACTCATCCTCTGTTCTCCCTGGTGCAATTTTAGGTATTGGCCTAAACTCTTGAGCCTCAGTCTCCTTGGGGGAAAATAGGATTAATTTGTATCCATACCCACCCACTCAGTCTGGAAAAGGATTAGGAAATGCAGTTTACTAATCTGATACACAGCCCCCAGGCCATGGTTGGCAGGTTGAAGGTACTTACTGCGCAGTGGTTCTCCCGAGCAAGATTGAACTTTTTATATTTGGAGCTCAAGATACCTGGTCAAGAAAATGAAGAATCAGGGAGGAGTGGTGTGAAAGGAAAAAGAGTGCTGGGTCTTCTTGCCTCTTGCAGGAGGTTGCATTAAGTGCACTGGGAACCAAAGAGGTGCTGATCTCTGCGAACTAGTAGGCCCCTGTGAGGCCCAGCTGTCATTCTAGCAGGGTCATGACCCAGAGCAATAATTACAGTGTGACAGGCATTGGAAGGAAGGACTTGAAGAGGCTGCAAATCTATCACTGGAGGTACTCACCTGTCTTTTGGGGTCTGGGAATGGCTCCTGGAGAAAGTGACACTTTAGCTGAGGCATGAGGGTGCCAAGGAGTTGAGGAAGCAAAGAAATGGGGATGAAGAAGGGAACCATGTGTAGGGCTTGATGTAATGGGGAGAGAGGCCTGGGGGTGGCAGGGCCAGACCTCCTTGGTCTAGCAGGATACTTACTGGAGTAGTGTGGATATCTCTGAAGGCTAATGGCAGCCCCTAAAGGATTTTAAGGGGCTGGGGAGATGGTAAGCAGAGAAAACTGGGTCAGATTTCCCCAGAGCATAGTCTAAAGCCTGTGGATTGCAGGGGGAGCCTTCACCCAGTGACCTTTTGACTTCTTTTACCCTCTCCCCATGTAGCAGCAGCTTTGGCACCCAGGGAGTGATTGTTTATGTAGCTTGTCCCAGGAGGAAGGAAACCATTCCTAGTCCCTCCAGCTCCCTCTCTCTGGGCTAAACTACATCTCAGCCTTGTTGACAATGCTTAGCCCTTTGGGACCAGGTTTTATCAACTTCCCTAGGGAGCCAGAAGGCAGGAGGCAGGGCTTTGGTACCAGACTGGCCTGTGTTCACATCCCAACTCTGCAGCTCATGAACAAGGCATACCACATCTCTGAACTATAATGCCCTAAACTATACAATGGGGTTAAATTAACCTTTCTGTAGAAGGATAAAGTGAAATTATAGGTGGTAATCACAAAGCCTGATCTCAGCATCAGTTGGCTTTTTTACTCTGTTTTATGTGTGCTGATACTTAACCTAGACCAGGTACAAGGCTGGCTGGGGTGGGGAGCAGAGTGGGTTGTAAGAGTTCATGGATTTAGAAGGAAGGACCCTGTATTTGGTTTAATTATCTGTTGTCTCCATCTTGAAAATCTTAATAGTTTTGAACAAGAGATGATCATGTGTTTTCTTTTAGCACTGACCCTTGCATATTACCTAGTCCATAAACCATTGAGGGGTAGGCAGAGGCAGGAAAAGACAGACCTCCAAGTAATTCCTGTCGAGATTGTAAAAGGTGGAGGGCATGACTAACTGCTGGGGTGGGTGGCAGGCTAATCACAACAGTGCTTAGCTGTGTGCTAATGATTGGCCAAGCACTCTGCATGCTCATCTTCTAGTGGCCCTATGAAGTGGGCACAACTGTTGTCTCCATGGTATAGATAGGAAGAAACAGATTAGTTGACCAGAGTCACACAGCTGTCAAGTGGCAGAGCTGGGACTGAAGGCCATGTTGTCCAGCTGCAGAGCACAGGCCTGAGCCAGAGAAGTCTTCACCCGGGAGGATGGGTTCCTGAGCTGGCCCTGAAAGAGAACGTGGCTTTACCTGAGGAGAAGAAGGTGCATAGGGAAAAGGAGGGCACCCTTGGTGGGGAAGTGTCTGTGGAAAAGGGAAGCCAAACCTCAGCTTTCAGGGGTTGAGAGAAGGTAACCCCTGGGTTTCAGGGTTCTGAGTTTCCGAGCTCCGAGCTCCTGTTCACTCTGCCATAATTCTGCTTGCTCCTGTGACTCCTTAGAACTGTTCTTCCCCCTCTTTTCTTTCCATTGCCATCTCATTTGCTATCATAACTTTAATTGTTGGTTCAGGGCCTGCCTCTCTAGCTACTTCCTGGACATACACAGTCAGCCCTAGGCCCAAACCCAAGTCCCCAGCTCTACCCACCCACACCTACTCTGTTTCCAGGGTCCCCAGCTCATCTCTGACACCATCCTCCACCCACTTGCTCAAGCTGGAAGCTGAAAATTCTCCTGGACTCATCCCGCTCCTTGTCCCCACATCCTCAGCAAGTCTTGTTAGTTTCCCTGAACATGTCTGCGTTCATGGACTCTCCTCCTGCCCATGGCTCCTCCAGGCTACCATCAGTGCTCACCTACACACTTGGTGGCAGCTTCATACTTGGGCTCCTTACCTTACCATTCTTGCTCCCTTGGGCTCATTTTTTACTCTTTTATTAGACTGATCTAAAGATAAACATTTGCCAGTGTGGTGGTGCATACCTGCAATCCCAGCTCTCGGAAGGCTGAAGCAAGAGAATTGTTGAGAGTTCAAGGCCAGCCTGGGCTACATAGTGAGTTCAGGACCAGCCTATACTATATAGTGAGAACCTGTCTCAAAAAACCA